CAACTTCTTCCGATCATCAAGCGGCAGGTGCTGTGTACGTTTCCGTACATTGTACAGGACATGAAAAAAACACATCAACTTCGTGGCGTGCTGGAAGGTTGGTACATTTTGTAGTGCGAGAAACTGAGAATCCTCCGCATCGCTCATTGTAAAATCACAGCGAATAGAAATCCCTCGAAGACTGCGCACTAACTCCACAAAAGCCCTGAAGCACTCCGTGTACTCATGCTCGGCGCGGCGACTCACCACGAAGAAAGCTCCGACTTGGTATCTCCTGGCTTGGTCGGTGAACCCGCAGGTTATCACGGGGTACCCAATATCACTCAGCTTAAAGGTTGCGTCAGCATGGAACAGGACACGAGCATCACCCGTACTGAAGCGAATACAACTGTCGAATATTGCTAGTGAAGTCACGCCGACAATAAACGGGTCATTGTCATCTCCCGAGCCAACGTAAGTCATGCCATCGACGTTCAGTTTTGCACCAAACACAAATGCCGTTTCTGGTGGGTTCTCGGGTTTGTAGCAGCGCGATCGGGCCAGTCTGTGAATTGCTTGGATAGAGTTCTTGGGCCCTTGTTCTTTTCGGATACGTTTTAGGGCGTTCTGAACCTGAGAAAGTGTAGGCCACCCTCCCCGCGACGGTCGGATGTTGACCTGTTTCTTCAGATGGACCTCGATAACCCGGGGTGACAGTCCAACCTCATCTTGGGTAGCGTAGCGATAAACGCTTTCATAGGGCGAGTGACGAGGGGAGTGTGTTGTTCGCTGCACGTGAGCACTCCTCTCGCGTGGCCGTTCAAGTTCACAAGTACACGCCACTTATCTTGCCCCTTGCACTGGAATACCTTCCACACAATTCCACACTTGCCAAACCTTATACAGGTTTTGCTTGAGCACTTCAGTCGACGCTCTATCATCGTGTGCTTTCCGCCACAGATGCGGCAGAAATCGAAGTCCACTTTGTGAAAAACGGCGGTACAACACATGAGCTGGTCACGGTAGCTATCATAGTCATCCGCGCTGTCAAGAAGAGAGAGCTGTATCCACGTAGACATCCTCGCAACAACAAGAAAGTAGAAGCCAGTGAGTTTGCAGTATAAGCGTTTGAGTTAGTTGTGTATGCACAACCGATCGCTGCGGTGTCCTAGCAATCCAGTCACTCGGATAAGAAGCCGAGTCAATTCAGCCGCCCCGCAATTTTGCCGTCCGGCTAAGAGGCCGGGGTAAATCCGCCGGCCGGCCGTTATACTTCGAACCATCTTATTATACTCTAGACAGGGTTATATATTTCATCCCCCACAATATGGTTGCTCCCCAGAGTTGTATATTTTGCACCACAAATCTGTATAGTTACGCACGCTCCTCGTAGGAACCAACATGAACATCAACTGCTCCGGATGGGGTCATGAGTCGTGACTGTGGCCAAGGGTCGTCCTTCATGTCAATGACGGTCAAGCGTCTACACCACCTGCCCTTCCGGATCCTTGCAAACCTACACACCTCTCCCTCAAATGTGCACACTACGCAGTAGATATCCACGTCTAACCAACCCGCCAACACCAGTCCGTTCGATCCAGCGCAGCATCTGTATGACGGTCGCGACCCTGGTGACTGCATGCACCGGCCCACAGGATCACATCCATCCTGGTAATCGCGAGCCCAGGCGCAGCAGGGCGACCGACCGACCCGACGGATGGCCGGCGTTGGCGTCCGTGTCACTTGGCAGCCAGCTGATCGACGCTTGCTTTCTTGCCAGCTGGCCAAAGCTAGCCTTGCCTCCGGTAGCCTCGCGACTAGCTGGCTGGCCGCCTCGCATCAGTTCATTCTCCAATCTACTCCCTCCCATCGAAGCAACCCGCTCGATCTCCGCCAGAGCCAGCGCTCTCCCAAACGTTCTATCGGACCAAGTCTCTCCTACTACTTCTACTTACTCAACCCAAACAGCCATGTTCAGCCTCAGCACCAGCAGCAAGATCTTCGCTCTGTGCATTGCCGGCACCGCCGTGTCGACCGGTGCCCACGCCGAGACAGAGGCGGACCAGACCTTGGGTTTGCTCGGACTCCCCGGCGTCGGCTATGGCGCACCCGGCTACGGATACGGCGCCGGCCCCGCGCTCAGTGTCGGTGTGCCCCGCCTCGCGAGTGTCGGCGTCGGTGTGGGCAACGGCGGTGTTGGTGTCGGTGCCAACGTGCTGGGCCTCGGAGCGCACGTCGGTGTGGGCTTGCCCGGTGTCGGCTATCCTGCGGGCTATCCTGCGAACGGCGTCCCGCCGACCGGTGTCTACAACGCTCCGCCGCCTATTGTCAACGGCGCCCCCGCCTACAACAACGCTCCGGCTACTGTTGTGAACAGCGCCCCTGCTACGACGGCTACGACTAGTGGCGCCAATGGCGCGTCTACTGCGAACGCGAACGCCAATGCGAATGCGAACGGCGGCAACAGCCCCTACTCGACCAAGACGGTCTCCGTCACGAACGGAGACGGCACGTCGAACACGGCGTCCGTGTCGAACGGAAATGGTGCCGCCGCGACGGGTGGTGCATCAGCGAGTGCTACGGCCAGCGCCAGTGCGAGTGCGTCTGCTCGGGTCACGGCTGGAGTGGGGGCCACGTCGTCTCAGAAGACGTACTGCCAGCTTCGCTCGGTGGAATGAGCGAGGCAAGTGTACCCTCTTAGGGGAGCTCGTCGAGGTGCCGTGAGCACCTCTTGGTGAACGAACGGGCTTTGTGTCGCGCGCGCGGTTTCGAGTCGTCTTGCTGTGATTTTCTCCTCGTAGCGTATGATGGATGTTGTCCTTTTGGTCGTTTGAGTAAGGAGTTTCAATGCAATGCAATGCAATGAATTCGAAGGTTTGTGTGAGACTTTGCGCATTCGAGTGCGTGTTGTAACAGCACAGTTGTTGGCCTGTGGTTTTGTATATACGCACCCGGCAGCAGGCAGAGAAACAGAAAAAAGCAAACACCTCTGGACAGTATGCTTCTCGTTGCGCTCGCTTGTCGCTAGTGTTAGATCATACCAAAGTCAAGGCAGCAATTCGATCCGATACTTTGGGATTTCCTGGTCTCCGATTGGTTGAGTGCAACTTCAACAAAGAACATACAAATACTAGTATGAAGCAGATCATTCAAAATCAAAGTAGAATCGCCAAGGCCGGGCCAACACGAGCCGAGCCGAGCCGAGCAGAGTACAGCCGAGCAGAGTAAAGCAGAGCAGAGCCAAGTAGCCTTTGAGGTTGCAGTATGTAGTAGCATCAACCGTGTACGCAGGTTATCATCGTTCAGCGTGCCGCGCCTTCGCCACGTGTCGTCCACATCAAGAAGCTTGCCAAGGCCTCGACACTACAGTTCCATCACCATTGGTGATTCACCAAGCTGAGCCGTGGAATGCGAATAAGAACGGGTAGAGAGTAGGAACCGACAAAAGGTCCCCGCCATACAGAAATTCGGGCAAAACATACAGAGGTGCGCATCCAAAACATACATACAAAAACTGCACAAACGCCACATGTTTGGATTAGCACACGGCGTCGATCTTGCCAAGAAGCCGCATTCGTAATCTTGCCAAGCAGCAGAATTCTCGTAACTCCGCCGTGGGGCAGAATTACTTTTTCACGCTTGTACTGCATAGCAAGGCAAAGTCCGTGTCGAACTATGCACTGAAAATTTAACGGCGGTGATTAAGGCAGTGTAACAAGGCTCAATGCTTGCTCACAAAGTTTGTATACGCAGTACACTGGCATTTGTAGTCCGTCAATCGAAAAGCCGATTGATGGAATTTGAAATCCTGGATTCTCCAGAAGAGCCTGATTGATGTATTAGCTTAATCACTCAATCGGAAGACATTCGATCTACGTCTGTAGATTTCACTTCTGAATTTCGACACAGGGACGCGTATCGCCAGCTCCATGACTCGCTACCCTCGTTACGGTTTCCCGGGCTCGACTGATACGTGTTGCAGAAGGACGATGGGACTTCCACGAGGGGGCAGCGGGTATACTGGGCGAAGAAAGCAACCAGCTCCTACTGCGATCTTAACAAGCATGTCGTGTCAATTCAAGTGCGTCGGAGCGGCAGATGCAACTTATCTCTGCCGCGACTCGAGGGTGAACGGCAGCAGTATGATTCCTCGTATGTACGAAATCGGCCGAGCGCAATTGCGAGAAACACGGTCCACGGTTGCGACGATCCGTCCACTACCGCTGCTGCATGTGAGGTGGCTTCTTTTAGTGATCATGCGACTGGCGAAACTGCAAGTGCTGCATTCCATGTACCTGATAAAAGTGCTGCTGTGCAGAAGGGCCTGGCCTGCGTGAAAACTACATGGAAAGTTTTTGCTATCATCGACAGGACTGCAGTCGGTCGAGGTTTTCGATACCGCGTTAAGTGGTGTGACGAACTGGATGGTCATCGGTGGGAAGACACTTGGGAGCCTGGTTTCATGTTACGCAAGGATGGTTTTAGCGATGGTTGCAGTATTGTAGACGCATGGAAAGCTTCCGACGAGGCAGACTTCTACCGCTTCTGCAGCAAGAATGGGCATGTCCATTTAGTGGGAGCCTCGCCTAAAGGTATGTGCGCCGTTTTATGCTGTAGGTGTCGCTGCGAAGCTACTAGGGATCACTGGCTGGAACTCGTCAAGCGTGGCTCAAGATTTTATTTCCTACTGCGCCAACCGGGGTCGGCCTATTTCTCCTAGTGGATTAACCTACGGTGAGCTTCGACACTACGTGAGATTTGTGAATGGGCGTAATACCACTGGAGGACAGATCAGTATGTCCGCACTGGACAAAAACTTACTGGGTGGAGTGAATGGAAAGCTGGCCGGCCAACGTCTGCGTGTAATCGATTTAACGGAAGGTGGATACGTTTGTGCCGCATTCAACTTGATGGGAGTAAGCCATTGTATCGCCATCCACGTTGTCTGTGGTGAGAAGTACGTCTACGATGAGGAAAACGATTCGGTCGCTTTAGGCGCCTATGATTTGGACTGGATTTACGGGATCTCTTTTCTGCGTAGAGTGGCGTTGTACGTCAAGTGATTGCCTTTACAGCGATGCTGTCACAAGTTCGAACATCGTTTTTTTATAGGGAGTTGTTGCCGTCTGCGGGCCTAACTCACACAAGGTAGCACCCCTAAGTATCAATACGTATTTATATACAGTGAGTTCCATCTCGTTTTCATTCTTTTTTTTGATTGCAGCTCACAGATCGACAAATATTTACAGTGTATTCTATTAATACAATGGGTTTCATAGAATTTTCATTCCTTTGCAGCACACAAAGCGATCA